GAGAGAATGGGACTTGACACCATCAACAGAGACAAATTGAGTACGATCAGATAGATACGATTTGAACCAGTTTAGAACAGAGCCACAAATACCAAATTTAGTGCGAAGACGCTGGAGAAGTATAGTATGATCGACAGTGTCAAAAGCAGCAGACAAATCAAGCAGCAACATGGCGACGCAATTTCGATTATCAAGGAAGAGAAGAATATCATTACAAACACGTAGAAGGGCAGTTTCACAGCTATGATGTCGCTTATATCCAGATTGAAAAGGTTCATGAAGTGAGTTGGCTGAGAGGTAGTTGTTTAGTTGAACTGCAACAACCTTCTCTATTACCTTGGAGACCATTTTTAAATTTGAAATTGGACGGTAATTTGCTAGAATTTCTTTATTTAAGGATGGCTTCTTTAACAGGCTTCGTAGAACAGCAGTTTTCAAGCACGGTGGAACAGAACTAGATGACAGCGACTTATTTACAATGTTACAAATGACAGGCAACAACAAACCAAGATTCTGACGCAATAAAAAAGCAGGAAGGGGATCGAGGCTGCAGGACTTTGAAAAAAGGTTTTTACACATGGCAGATAAATCTTTAGCAGTAACAGGTTCAAACGARGAAAAAGTACAGTTAATTGATGGCTCATCAAAAATAGTAAAAACATCAGAGTCACAGRACATCACACGAGAAGATAAATCATTTCTAATYTTCACAATCTTGTCGTTGAAGAAATTTACAAATGTATTTGCAAGTTCAGAGGGTGACGGAGAAAATGGTAGTTTGCATTCTGCAGAGCGATGAAGAAGTTTATCAACAGTAGAGAACAGAACTTTATTGTCAGAACCAGATTCATCAATTATCTTGGAGTAGTAGGTCATTTTTGTAGTGAAAATAAGATTTTTAABTAAATTGCATTGATTGACATAAAGATCACGGTCAACTGTTAATCTTGTTTTACGCCAGCGTCTTTCAAGTTGACGTCTTTTTAATTTTCCTTCACGGATTTGATCATTGTACCATGGTGCACTTCTTCGAAAAGAAGCAAGTTTTGTTCGAGCAGGAGCATGTTTATCAAGAAGTGTAGAAAGAACAGAGTCATATTGACGACATAGATCAGACACATCAGTAGCAGGCGATTTACATAGCAATGACTCAGTAATATCTTGACGAAAAACATCTAAGTCAATTGAACGAAGTTTGCGATAAGTGACAAATCGTGGTTTTTTGACAGGTTTGACAATAGACAATAGACAGTGAACAGCAAAATGATCAGATAAAACAGGCTCATGTACAAAGAAATTACGAACCAAGTCCTCGTCAGCTCTTGTAATTAAAAGATCGAGAGTATGACCCTTCTTATGAGTTGGTTTTGTGGTATCAATACACCGCAGTGAAAAACAATCAATTAATTCTAAAAACTTKATCCCAGAGTAGTCATTAGAGTCATTGACATGGATATTGAARTCACCACAAATCAGCAATTTACCAGGAGAAACAACTAACGACTCCAACATTGASGAAAATTCATCCTTGWAGATGGCAAACGATGATGAAGGAGGACGATAAATAACAAYAACACGAAGCAATTGATCACGCGAACGGAAAGATAACTCCATTGATTCAAACGACCTGTAAACAGTAGATTCACAGAGTTTTACGGACAAAAGATTACAATAAATCACAGCAACACCACCACCAGAACGATCTTTTCGAGGAATATGGAAAATAGAATAACCAGAAGGACAAACATCACGAATTACAAAGTGAGAGTCAGGAGAGTTTTTGAGCCAAGTCTCAGTTACAGCAAAAATATCCAGTTTACGTTCAACAATATAATCCTTGATATAAAGAGATTTGTTATTTAATGATCTTGAGTTAAGAAGACAAAAACGAAGAAAATCAAAGTTAGTAGATATAATAGATGGCGTAGATGATGTACACCGATCAGAGGTACAGTCGGTATCAGGATTGTTGTTGTTATTCAAATGATCAGTTCTTAGAGAACGTCCTSCACGCTTGCTACGRAAACGGAAAATGTTTAAATCTTTTAGTAGTGAA